CCCCCCCCCCCCCCCCCCCCCCCCCGCAGCCTGAGCTGGGCGGCCTCCACACCGTAGGAGTCGCTGTCGCTGGTCCGATGTGGTTATTTGCACGCGCACGACGGCGTTCGGCGATGTTCCTTCTTGTTGGCGTCTTGCGAAGCCTTTGTATTGTGACAGCCGGGCCCATCGTCACTTTGCTGCGGGCGCTCTGTTTTTCTTGAAACCTGCAGGTGTTGCTTACGTTTGCCATCGGGGTGACTATGTTCGGCGGCTACATGTACTACCGCTTCGAGAACACCATGTCCTTCGACTACACCGGGCTGCAGGACAACAAAAAGGCGGCAGAGGCCTTGGCCGGTGAGAACCCTATGCTGTTTCTCTCCTCTCTCTCTCTCTCTCTCTCTCTCTCTCTCCTGTTTGTTTTTTGTGCTTTTTTTCTGTAACAATCTTTGCAGCCACCCTCTCCTGGTTTTTGCAGCGTGGCAATATCGGCGGTAGATCGAACGGATGATTAACCCCCTCGTGATTGGTTACTTGACACGCCGCCGTAGACAGCCCTCGCCGCACTCTATGCTGTTGCTTCCGGTTCTTGATCTTCACGCTCACCATCGTGGTATTTTATTACACGGTTTGAGTACGAGATGCTTCGCCTTCCAGTGGAAAAACTGCACAAAAATCATCTGGGTCCTACACCCGATAGCACTCCCCCCACAAGCTCATCCCAAGATCCTAATAACAATGCCACCCGGGGACAGTGTTTCGTGATAAGTTTCCTGCGGGGCTTGTTTATTCGGGCGTGACGGTCGGCGATGTTCCAGAAACTGTAAGTGTGTGCATCGAACCACGATGTCGCCAAACGAGTTGTCCTCCATTAGACGTCGAGTGGCCTTCTACGTAGACAAGCCAATTGCCGATCAAGAGAGACGTTGCACGGGAGGGGGCGCAGGCCGTCTCGACAGGGAGTATCTGGCTCCTCTTGTACGCACTGCCTACAGCCCATGTGCGGCATGAACCACGTAAAGCCTCGCCGCTCGCGCCGCCCGCCAGCCCAGAGACAGCAGGAAATGTGGCGCCCTAATTTCTAGACCGATTACGAATATCATATCCTCACAATATGTTAGGCTTTTTCCCCTTCCCCCCCCCCTCCCCCTCCCCCCCTCCCCCGACCTGCGCCCCCATCCCCCCTTCCCCCTCCCTGCGTCCGCAGTGCTGCTCGGCCTGATGCTCTCGGTGTACCTCCTTTGGATCGTCGTGTTGGGGCTTCGGTCCTGCGGGAGGCTCCGCACGGTCTCCCCCTCCTTCATCCTGCTGTACTGCATTACGCTGCTGACCTCCCTGGTGGCGGTGATCGGGGTGTTCGTGGCGGCCTACTACCCCTACTCCACTTCCGCCGTGGCATTCGTCGGCATCCACGGCCTGCTGAACCTTTACGTCTGGACGCTGGCGGCTTGTTTCGCGCCGGTGCGGACGCCCTCCCTGGGGATGAGGGACAAGCCGGTGTCGATAGGGGGCACCTCGGCGGTCGCAGGGAGGACGCCGCAGAACCATCGCGATGACGAGGAGGATATCGCCGGTTGGGAAGACCCAGCCGACGGCGACTTCAAGGGTGTTGAGTTGTGAGGGAGGGAGGGGGGGGGGGCACAGAGGGCAAAAGGCAGAGCGTCTGCGGACCTCTGAGGACAAACAGTTTTTTTGCTTCTGATCCCCGCCGTTGTGGTGGGGAAGGGTTGACGCGAATGCCGGCTCTCCCGCTTGTGTAAACTCCTTGCTGCATTCGTCGGTGTCTTTCTTTTGTTTTTGGTTTGTGTAGGCGAACGAGCGTGACTTATGGCTAAGCGCGCTTGGTTGTCTGGGTTGTTCTTCCCCCCCCCGTGCGTTGTGTTTTGCGCAATTGACGTTGCGGGGGGGGTGCTCGATTCTCCGTGCGCAAGGGCCAAACAGGCTCGAAGCGCCATGTTTCGTGCGGAATATACCCCGAGAACCTACGTTGTATCATGAATTTTGACGGCGCGGCACGGCTGCAAGACCTGCGCGTTTGTCGCCGTGCGTGCGTGCCGTGTGTTCGCGGGAGAGAATAACGCTTTCTCCCTTCTCTGTGCTTCCCCAAACCGTAGGCCCTAGTGTGCCGTGTCGATGTGCTTGATAGTGCTTGTACTTTCTTCCTATGTTTACGGTAAGAATTGCCCGCGTCTACATTCCCTTTCGATTTTTCTGGAACAGAAGTATTAGTCAAGTCGTGTCACGTTGGGTCGTGTTCTTGTTGGCTATTTAGGTATTTTTTATCAATTTTTGTGGATACGACAGTTGAGGATCCGTCAGCGTTGGAGCTATCATAGAAATGAAGATAACACAGAACCTAGCGCTAGTTGCGGATTCAGACGTGTGGTGACAAGATCGATTCTCCGGGGTGCATGCTTCCCCGCTTTGTTCAAAATGGGCTCTTTGATGATTGGGTTTTTTTCGAACGTGTCTATATTGATTGGCTTGACATCAGACATCACGATTGGGCTTGGTGCGGCTTGTACTCGTTGTCACGTACTTGTGTGCTGTCGGTACTTTTTGAAGGGGGAGGGGGGGAGGGGGGCGAACCGGGTGGATTGCATCAATAGTCGTTTTCTGACTGGGTTCTCGTGGCCGCTGGAACCTTTCTTTCAAATGGTTCGTAGAGAGAGAGAGATAGCACCGTTGTCACACATAGGGGGTGATGTGATCCCGGTCCCCCCGCTTAGCAACACGCCTCTCGACGTAAAACTAGAACGAGGGGCATGCGGAGCAACATCTCTTGCTGCGGCGTTTTGCCACAGCCCGGTCACAGGCAATGCAATATGAGATCGATGGGTTGTTTGCCTCGATGAGGCGGCGTTAGTCACGCTATCAGAACCGGTTCAGCTGTGTGCTGCTTGCGGCGAGCACGCAGCAAGTGAACTCGACGCTCCACACGTCACCCTGGTCGTGTTAGCGTATCTGGGGGAAATGCTTACCAGAAAAATGCGACCCCCCTTGGCAGGTGTACACAAGTACCGGTCGAGGCTACATGCGGCGGCAACACCGCCGTGCTTGTGGACCCACCAGGTAGAGAGTTGACGAATGTTTTTCGGCTGTTGCTGTCCTTACGATTTCGGAGCAAAGTTTCCGGGAGGCGTTTGCCGTCGAAGGTCTTGATTCTACGACAAGACGTGGGCATCCCGATATGGGTGCGAGACCGATTCAAAGCAACATCTGCCGGGATATTTGGTAGATGGACCGCCAGGATTGGGCATATGTTTGCTTAAGCCTGGGCCAGGTGGTGGTCTGTGCGGCGGGGGAACTTTGGGACATGGGATGGGATGCGGTGTGTTACGTCTACATAATCCCTTTCCTTCGCGGGTTGGTCGTTCGGCGGTACCTTTCATGGACTAGCGTATTCAGTGCTTGTGCGTACGTTCTGGTTTGTTTTGCGCCATGGTTTGGCGTCTCAATTGGGGGGGGGGGTGTACTCATTTGGGGGGGGGGGGGTTCGAGCGAGGGTTCGCTCGGGCCTCTTCCTGTCGTAGCGTGTGTATTTTGTGTATCCGTGCTACTTTGTTCTTGATGAAGCTACGTTAATGTCGTTTGCTGAAATTGATGGGTAGGAAGGATGCCTTCCATCTCTAGAGTAATGCTGGCCAGGTGGTCGCAGTCAGCGGACGTAGAGGCGAGCTGTTGGTTCACCTTCGTGGCGGCTATCTTCGAGATCCGCGGATCTGGTACTCAATCAATCGTGTTTTGTTTGGTGGAAGTAGGGGCAGTCCTCGAGTCCAAAAGCCGTTGGTTTGGGGGGGAGAGTTGTGTTTATTCATTGTTTGGGCGAATAAAGCACATGAGTACCCCCCAAGCATCGCAAGCTTGAGGTCGAAACGAAGTTGATAGATATTGATATCACATTGCTAAAGGCGGCAGACATGACAAGTGTTGTGTCGGTTTCTTTTGCAATTGTGTTTGCGTCAAGAGTGGACAACCTGCGACAGAATTGAGTTAACGATGACTGACATGTCCAGCAGGTTGGCCCTTGTATCGAACAAAGCAGTGTTGCCTTCATGGAGAGGAGGGCTGATGTATGTTGCTCGTAAATTCGAACAACAGCAGTTTCCTGGAAGGTACTGTAAAAAATGCCGTCGCTCTTTTCTACGTTTATTTATGTAAAATATACGACATTCGTCCCGAAACATAGGGTAAGATTTGCAAGAACAATCCAGCCACACACAACTCAGCGGTGGATCCTACACTATCTCCCATTCAGCGATACCCTCAACACAAATAGAGGAGAGACGAGGGCTCCATGGGAGTAGGGTCGATCTTATCATGTGTAGCGTAACCTGACGGGGCCAGCGTAACCTGACGAGCAGGGCGGAATACAACGTACTTCGAAGTATTTGTGTACCCCTCTTACTCAGAGAATGAACGCTGTAGGGGTCCGCCAATAATGATGAGCGTGACTTACTCTCTGGCCGATCGTATCATGCAGAGTACAGCCGGCCGCGAAACTACGTTTCATTTTCAAGTGCTGAAAACGAGCTGAAAACACCCACAACAAATCATTACAGTATGGCGGCTGTACTTCATACCAGTGCCACATGCACTCAGTAGTACACCAGCTACTGCCGTATTAAGGAAAAATAAATACACACACAGAAAGACTACCCATTCGAGATGTACCCACAGCAGTATTATTGTAGTCATTTTTGGGCACGCAGTCCGCAGTGTTGTAAATAATAGGTGTGTCTTGTCGTCGCCGTTGAAGTTGGTATGTAGCGTCAAACATTTCCCTCGACTCGAGGGAATAGGAAAGAAGCCACAATGGATGGAAAAATGGCAACAGCGAGGTACGTTGAATGAACGTCATTCGCTGGGCGTACGAAGTAAAAGTTTACCGGCCTTTCGTGGGTCGAATCGCCCGGCGTGCGTGCACGTTTCGCATCTCATTGGACCAAGGAGAAACTTGCATGCGTTGGCGTATTCTTGCCGCGTTGCTACACGAGGCCTGCTCGACACGGTGGGTGGAGACACTGCGAGGTGGTATGAGAACAGACAGAGAGATACCACGCCTGACGAAGTCGAAGTGGTACAACCGGTGAAGATCTGCACATGCAAGGTAGATGCGGGCCGACCCTTGATGCAGGGTTCTGTGGAATTCCATGCCGCAGAGCCCCTTGGAATCCCCGATCCCCTGTCTTGAAAAACATGCATCCGCATGCGCGGCTAACTTGAGGGCGTATCCCCCCCGAAAGCATCTCATCATCGTCGCTACTGCTGTGCGCCGCTTAGTCCGTTGCTGCCGTCACAAACGTTGCTGAAGTAGAGCTTGACCAGAGCCCCTTCTACCCTCTATCCTACTACCATGAAGCTCGCCGTGATCGCCGTTGCGCTGTCCGCGCTCAGCCCTTCGGACGCCTTCGTCCCCTCGTCTGCCTTCAACGGAGCCAGAATGGCCGGCCCGGCCGCCACCACGCGCGCATCGACGTCGGCGGTGGAGATGTCGGCTGCGTCGGACAGCTTCAAGAAGGCGGCGACCGGAGCGCTGGCGATCTTCGCGGGGCTCTCGCTGTTCACCGCGCCCCCCTCCGAGGCGATCACGAGAGACACGCTCGACGCGCTTTCGTACACCCAGGTGAAGGGAACGGGTCTCGCCAACCGATGCCCAGACGTTGTGGGGGAGGACACCATCAGCGTGAGCGGGGGGGCGAAGATCGTTGACATGTGCATCGAGCCCAAGAACTTCCAGGTTTTGTCCAAGGTGAGAGAGAGGAACAGAGAGAGAGAGAGAGAGAGAGACAGGCCCAGCACTCGTTGTGGCGTTTTGCCCCCACGATATTCGTGTTGTGTGTGCATGTTTTGCATGTTTACGTTCGTACAAAGTAGATTCTGTCTTGAAAATTGTACGTAAGCTTGTTGATGTGGTTTTCGGTGCTGTGATGTTGCAGCGCAGCTCTCACGGGTCTCGGTCGTGCTACAGCAGTCTCAGTTCATGCCTGCTAGATGGCGGCCATCGTTGCACTAGCACTAAGCCGTGCCTATGCGTGCGTCACGGTGGCATGATACCTAGCTCGAGTCAAAGTATGCTCATCACCAGCGGGTGTTCATGTGTGTGCGGTTTTTCACCGCGGGGTGTGTTGATGCTGGTTTTAGACTCGGTGCTCCAAAAACGCAGGACGCATGGCCATCGTGTGAGTCATCCCTTTTCAAATGCAACAGCAGTTAATCGCACAAGCACATGGCAAGGCCACGCGGTGGCCCAGTGCCATGGCCCATTTCGCTGGAAATAAGCTCTACTGACTAAGTTTGACTGCCAGCACGTGTTTGCTTTTGTGGCTGTGCTATTTTAGTAGCTGCTGGCTGTTGTATGTTCCAGTACAAGATGATGCACATCAAGTTGGTATGCTGTAAGTATGTACAACATGTAACGACATGAACACACCTCAAATCCCGGCTCACACGGCACGTCAAGAGTTTGGGAGATGCCATCGTGGTCGAACAGCCGGCTGTAGGTTCAAAGCCAGGAACTGCTTGGTTGGGTTGTCAGCGGCACATTAGAGATGCATTGCGCATCCGTAGACTACGCTGTTTACACTCCGCGTTTTTTTTGGCCCAGAGATGGGACTAAACTCTCGATGCCACTCGCGTATGTTCAGCAGTAGAGGTAATGGGAGCTTCGGCACACGCCCCACGCCGCCCTTATTTTGCCCTATGTTTGGATCTCTGCTGCTGCAAAACACACAGTGCACTCTGAAATGGCGACAAGAGACGCATACGCGAATTGTCGCCGTTCATCATTCCTGTGTACCTTAGCTCGAAGGAGGCACATGTTGAAATATGTCCTCCGTGTTGAGCACTCAGCGTCACAAATGTTCTCCGTCTCGTTAACACCTAGCAGGATAGTCCAGCTGATCTATTGTTTTTTGTGGTGTACAAAATATGCATGGAACTAACAGGCTTGTTTCGTCAGCCGTGGGACATGAACCGTTGGTTCCGGACCCAGCGCTGCCCTTGAACACACGAGAGGAAACGTGTGTTCTGCTGTACCCTCTCAAGTTTTTCGCAATATAACGGAAAGAACCGAGTGTTTTCTGGTCTTGGTCCTGCACCTTTGCTGCTGTGTGGGTGCACAAGCCTTGCCTTTGGAAGTGCTCCTGCTGTGGGTTTTGTTCTTGATCATCTGGCGTGTTTTTTCGTTTCACTGGTGGTGCCCAGTGCAAGGCGCTACATTAGCGCGGCCTACCGCCATAAAGCGCCTCATGTTTTACCCTCCTTACTGGCTGCGTACCCGGGAGGCTCAATGCGCGGGCAGTGCAGCAGGAGAACGTCGTCCTTATCCTGAGCCGCTCAAGCCATAAGACTATACTTCAAATCATGCGCGCGGGACCCTGATGATTGTCGTTCCTGCATGTACAACACGACTGTTGGATGTGTTGGGCCGTGGCTCGTTTGTAACCATCGCACTTCTCTTCGTCCCTCTCTGTAACTTCTTCTTGTGTGCAGGTGGCACGGGGGGGTAACATGGTGCCGGCGATGATCGACACCAAGCTCATGACGCGTGAGACATACACCCTCTACGGCATCGAGGGAGACTTCGGCAACAAGGACGGCAAGCTCACCTTCACCGAGAAGGTGAGTTTTTTTTTTTCCCTCACCCTCTTGCATACACTGATTTGCTGTGCCCAGTTGTGTTTCAATTCACTGGTGTCTTGTTTGGTCGCTCTTGCTGTGGTGTGTGCCTACGAGTGATGTGACGGGGGTGTTTTCCCTCATGTCTCTCGCCGAAACCGACCAGCAGCGGAGCCTCTTGCAACAGCCAGTGTAAAACGGTTGTGATGCCGCACAAATGCAAATGTTCAGCAGAGATCCCTAAACTTGTGCTTGAATTCGAAAGAGAGTGCCGCCCTTCCTCCTAATAATAACATGCCTTTTTCTACTGTGCCGCAAGTTGAAGTCGAACGTACAACCAAATACCAAAATACCAACAAACGATCTCGCACCACGACGTATACACGGTGTGACTTGCGAAGACGCAGCGCTGATCACAATGCTGGTGTCGAGATCCAGTCGCCCTCCGGAGCATGTTGACTACACGGCGATCATTGGTTGCCCTTGCTTTTTTACCCTTACGGCAAGCCGGCTTTTAGGTGGAGAAGCGGCATTCCGTTCGTGGCGTTGTGATGCCGTGGCTTTGTCCGACCTGAAAATCTCAAGCAGCTTTGTGTGTGTTTTTCGTGTGGTGGCCTGCGAAACAGCCGTTGGCACGTTAATAATAAAGGAGTTTCGAAGTGAAGAATCAGTGGTGTCCCCGAGATGTGTACACTCTCGGAACGGCATGCTGCATGTCGATCGTAAGCTTGGCATGAATGTATTGCAATACATGACCTGCCCCCAAAAATGTTTCTCAAGAATGAAAAAACAACAACGAATCCTTGTTTTGGATATGGACTTTTTGGTGTCGAGTCTTGGGCTGTGAAAATCATGTGCGTGTGCTTGACGTGCGCTTTTTTTCTTCCGCACCCTCCGTCAATATTGGCCAACACGTCTAATAAGATCTCTCACAACGCCTCCTTTCGTGTCCGATCGACACCAACCGCGTTAGACCGCTGGAAAACCAAAAATGCCTCAGCCAAACGCTCAGGAAAGACACCCGCCAATCCCCTTTGACTGTATACAAACGTCTTACCTGTAAGACTTCAACCCATCCCCTTCCACTATCCCAAACGCGTAAGTGTGTCTTTTGACTGTACAACTGCATGTTTTTTTATCAAC